TATAGTTGGTTTTCATGGACTAAACTGATATCAGCAGATATAATATAAGCAAGATATTGATACTGCATTCAGTAGCATCAGCAATGTTCTCCTTCTGTATATAGCTATCAGTTTTATATCATATAGCATTTAGTCAATGTTACAAATAAGAGAAACCATCAGTGCAAATGACTGACATAGATATTTTCACCAGAAGACACACAGAAACATACAAAATATCTTAAAAGATTATGTAAACTTACGTGTCAACATATGGGGCTTCTTCACTAGATTCTCCGCTTGCATCATCATCCTCATCTTCTGTTAAATCTCTTTTAGAAATACTTGATTCAGTAGTATTGTCATATGTTTGTTCATGGAACCCAAAGAGTCCACCAATTACAAATACTGTTACAAGACAGAAGAGAGTGACAAAGAAGATAACAATATAAGGCATACAGCATAACCGGCGATATTTCCATGGTGCTGATACACCCTCTGGAAAAGAAGAAGAAAAAAACGAACTTATATATGTGTGTAAGTCAATAACTTCATGTATCAGATCATGTCAAAAGATGATTAGTTTTCTTAAACACTTTTCATTAAAAATATGTACTTACGAGGTTTAGGTCTAAATGCCCGATAGAATCTGGTAGCAAACATGCCATATTCTTTTTCTACCATGTCAAAGAGAGATCCTAACATTTGCACCACTGAGTTTTCACCCCCTGCTGTACTGCTGGGCTTGGCTCCCTCCGCAAAAATGAACCTAAGTGTATGAAAGACAGGGATTAATTAGTTGATGCAATATACTGTTTTTCATTTTTTCATGCTTTTCTTTGAGTCATTACTCTAAATTTCAAGCAGAATATTTTTGAATTTTTGTGTTCCTTACTTAAGAGGCCTAGCTTGCACTCCATCCTTCCACTCTTTCCACTGTGGTCCAGGAGGTGAACAGAAGATTACCTGAAGAACTAACTTAAAGGCTGCCACTTGATGTGCTAATGCAACACTCCATCTATACCATAGATGCCAGTCATATCTGTTGATAGATCATAATTTTACTGGATGCATTTCCACAAAAAAACAGTCATACATAACACAAGTTTGTAGGTAAAATCATCAGAACATCAGTATATAAACACCCCGTCACTCACCTTCTAGAGCCATGCCAGACTGCCACAAGGAAGAGTGTAATGACGAGGAACACTGATCCACCTGCAGCCAACCCTATCTCCCATGAAATAGTAGGAACAGCAGCAATGAGTCCCACCAAAAGAGAGAGATGCACCACTACCAGCACCACCAAAGGGGAGAACTGGAATAGAGGTTCTACCCACTGGCGAGCAAAACTACACATCTCCTCTGCAACATCAAAAACATGTATTAAGTTACTCATGAAATTCTGAATTCTGAAAAAGGAAATATATATGGCAGCTAATCATGACAAAGAAACACTAGACAAAACAAATAATCTACTCTAACTGAAATTATGCCAATATTATACATACCTTTGAGCTTGCGAATAAGGAAAGACTTTCCAGAACCCCATTTAGCATAAAGGCCAACAGATATAGGCATTGAAAGAGATGGCTCACTAAGAATATCTGCCATAGAGGAAGAATAGAGGTCATAACCCAACATGTTCTCGTTGTCCTCATTTGTGTTCAAACGACCTGCAAGAATCAAGTGTATGACTAACAAGAAAAAATATCAAATCATGGACAAAATGTGCCATGATACATTTTACTATCATAATCCTTGTAGATATTCATCATAACACACCTTCACACAGATCAAATACTTACGGGCACCAAAGATCTGCCCAAGGATTGTCTTCTGATTTGACAGGTCAATATTGTATGGAGTCTCACCAGAACGATTAGGACGATACAAAAGTTGACTGTTCTTTGGGTTCCTTAATAAAATTTCTACTATCCTCTGTTGATAGGTAAAGCATATAGTCAGTAAAGATCTTGAGAGCCAAAAAAAAAATTGTTTTTATTGTTAGCCTATCACTTGAATACTTTATATCTTTAGAAAAAACACATGAAAACATATCACATACAATATCAAGAAAAATGCCCCCATCTATGGAGTGAACATATATTTTTGTACCTTAGATCGACCTCTCATGGCTATGTGAAGAGCAGTGTCTCCTTTTTTATCTGCTACAGAAACTCGTGCCCTCTTGTCTACCAGCAGCTGCACCACCTCTGCATTCTTGGTCCTCACTGCTCTGAGAAGAGCTGTGTCTCCATCCTTAGTGGTGTGCTCCAAGTCTGGGTTGGCACTCAATAACACCTGTACAGAATTTTTCATATGGGTGCCTCAACTCTAATTTTCATTAACTTTTAGAAATAGTTTCTCAGTATAAAGAACATAGCAATGTCATTTATCTTTACAACAAAGGAAATTTTAATGATCATTATGGTTTATAAAACCAGGTTATCTTCAAAATAGGTGAACTCTTTTCAAACAGCAAATGGGAAAATACCAATGCCAAAACCGAAATTCTCACCTTCACAACAGAAGTATGACCCTTCTCAACAGCCCAATAAAGTGCAGTTTTCCTTTCCTTCCCTACCATGTCTACATCTGCATACTTTTTAAGCAATGCCTCTACGACTGCTTTATGGCCTCCTCTTGCTGCTTGAATAAGGTTGGAATCACAGTTTCTATCCTGCAACAAAAATTAGAAATATTTATGAATGTCCTTTTTAAGATACTAGGTTTAATACTGAAAAGGTAATGAAAAAGTGTGATATGACCAGTTTGAATTATATGCTGAATCTAAAGAAGTGAACATATTTACATACCTGTACGTTGACATAGGCTCCAGCATTGAGTAGAGCTGTTGCAATTTCGGTATAACCTTCCTTGCAAGCTATGGTAAGGGCTGTGCCACCTTCCTTATCTAGGGCATTAAGGTTGGGCCGATGTTCCAGCAGAAGATTCACCAAATCTACATAGTTGCCCTTTGTTGCTACCAGTAATGGTGTCCAAGAGTACTGCAATGGGTAAAATTTGCATTATTATATTTCCTTTACTGTCCTTCTTCCTATCAATCGATCTAATGTTTTCCTAGATATTGCATATGTTCAAACTCTTACAAGTTTAGTTCATGAGATTTAAAATGAGCAAAAGGAGTATCAAATAACCGCCTCACCATCCCGGATGCATCCACGCTGGCTCCGTGCTTGAGCAGCTCCTCGGCGATCTCGTAGTAGCCCTTCCGGCACGCCCAGATGAGCGGCGTCGTGCCGAACTTGTCGCCGATGTTGACCTTGGCCCCGTGTATGAGGAGCTCCCTGACGATGGCCGTGTGGCCCCTGCCGGACGCCCACACCAGGGAGCTCATGTGGTGCTGCCCTTGCGTGTTAGAGTCCGCTCCCCGCGCCAGGAGCAGTCTGGCCAGGTTCGTGTGACTCAGAAGATATATCTGAAGTGGTTAACATGATGCTACCGCCCTAAAAAGAATGGCAGTGATTGGTACCAGGGGTCTTCATTGTCATATACCTGTGGTTTTATACTTTTGTCAACTATAGAAAACTGTAGAGGGAAAACTCCACAAAGTAGGGCATGAAAGCTCCTGGCCGAAGGGAATTTGCACTGCAACTCACCATGTCCTTTGCATTAATGTTGGCTCCATTGTCGAGGAGTGTCGCCACCGTCTCCTCATCCTCCTGCCGTAATGAGGGCCGACCATTGATCCTGTGACGAATATCAACGCATCTTCAGACACATCTTGGTTGAATCAGTCTAAATATGTATGATTTATTCTTAACAGATTTGGTTTTGGGTTGAATCATGCCAGAGTAAAGTCATAAAACGATATATCACTCCACGAACACTAAAAAAAAAAAAAAAAAAAATCTGACTACGACATGAGCCCTTACGTTGTCCTCGGCGTTGACGTCGGCTCCGTGCAGCAGCAACTCCTTGCAGAACTCCGGCTTGCCCTTGCTGGCCGCCAGGATGAGCGCCGTCGAGCCATTCTCGTCCTTGTCGTCGATGACCACGGAGCGGGAGGCGAGGAAGGACTGCAGCCCCGACAGGTTATCCTCCGAGATGTACGACTCTAGAGACTTGAAGCTCAGCGACACCATCTGGTCCGACTGGAGGAGGGGAAGAAAACAAGGGGGGGAAAGGCGTTAGTCGTTTCTCGAAAACCCGCAACGCCGCCCACTGGAGAGCTGAACGCGTCTTTAGAAACGAAATCAGAAAGGGAGAAAAGGGTGTTGTGAACCAGTACTGTGTAGGAGTTGAAAGGGATAGAGCAAAGGCGAGCCTGTGTTCGTCCTGGAACATAAAATTATATATATACATCAATTAATAAATGGTGGTAACAAAGGTTCTACGTTAATAAGAAACTAAAGCAATATACCATCAACAGAAATACATAAAAAAAAGTTTCGAACCGTCGCTGAATATTGTAAAAAAGAAAAAGTCTATTTTTGCAATGCTTTTCTGTTACTGTTATTGTGTCAAGACTAATTCTACAGAATACGGTCAGTGACATTACAGCAACAAGAGTCCTTAATCAAACCAAAATTCACGGCCAGCAGGGAATAATCCTTGCAAAATTTACAGACATACATCTGATGACGTGATAGAAATGGACTTTATCACTGGCAATGCCTATGCGTATAAGCCACAAATTAAACGGCCAAATCGAAACAAAATAAAATGGTCGCAAGTACGATGCATAAACAACACTCTATGAATATATTAAAATGCATGTGCAAAGATATGTATGTGCGTGATAATATGTGAACGTATGTGCGCGAAAATAAAATCTGAATATCATCCATTCACAATAACATGTGAACATTCTAGACCGCAGTCGGAAACCAAAAAAACCTGAAGACCGAAAGGGAAAGGAAGAGAAGAGCCAGTGAGCACTTCGGAGAGAGTGAAGATGACTCTATCTAATTTCCTTTTTTGGGGGGGTTGGGGTGAGGGACTCGTGCACACACAGAGGGGAATTTTCTCTGACTCCTGATGCGGGTCCTTTGGCAAGGGGGGGGTGAGGGGAGGGGGAGAGAGAGGAGGGGGTGTACACAGCTAGATGCTCACGGTTGCAAGCGCAAGGGGACATGAGTAATTGGCTATCCGTGTGATGCTAACATAGGGTGCACATATAAGACATGGCATAAACACAGAGCATAACTCCAGCGTGATGTGGTTCGGAGGGAGGGAATTTCAAACGCCTGGGCTAGGGTCACAGTTGTCGTTCGCCAATAGGGTTTGTTCGGCAAGATTTCATGCACTGGGAGTATCTGTGCCACTAAAAAAATCACTATAAAAATCGATGAAACAGAATGACAAAATCTTTAATTGTCGACAATTGTTTGTGGAGGTACAACACAAAGGTATAACACATAAACTCGTGTATATATATATATATATATATATATATATATATATATATATATACAATATATATACATATATATGTGTATATATGTATATTTGTCTGTGCGTGTCTCTATGTATGTATGTATGTATGTATGTATTTATGTGTGTACGTATGTATGTATATATGTATGTGTATATGTGTGTACGTATGTATGTATGTATGTGTATGTGTATGGGTATGGGTATGTGTATGTATATGTATGTGTTTGTCTGTATATGAATATGTGTATGTGTATGTATAAGTATGTCTATCTATATGTGTTATATATATATATATATATATATATATATATATATATATATATATATATATATATATATATATATATATATATATATTACACGATTATCGAAAAACCCTTACTACCTAAATGGCGACAGCCTGAAAAACAACGTCGAGCCCACTCAGTGCCATAAAACACAGAGGCAACCAGCACGCACTCCTGAAGACAGAAAAGGTCTCCCTAAACCATGTATTTACGAGGAAAAAAATGCAAATGCATATCGTACCCATTGTATATATACTGTGCAAAATAAAAAGAATATTTATACATATACATACATACATATATCGACAGTCATGTATATACATATATATATATATATATATATATATATATATATAATATATATATATATATATATATACATACACACACACATGTATATATATATATATATATATATATATATATATATATATATATATATATATATATATATGCATTATATATGTATATTTATACAAATATATATAAATATATAAATATATATATATACATATATATGTTTATAATGTATATAAAGCATGCATGTATAGTCAATTTGAGAACAGATGCGATCGAAACAAAAAGGAAATCTGTAGCTTTTCAATAGTATGCCATTCCAGAAGTGACAATTGCGACACTGAAATGTTAATTGAAAAGATAATTGCATGTTGTTATGAAATATCCTAAAGTAATATCGACACCAGTATGAATGAGACACCGAGCATATTTTAGATGCATATACCTATTTTTTCCCGTTTATTTGCAATATTCTCTGTATATATATATATATATATATATATATATATATATATATATATATATATATATATATATATATATATATATATGGCGTGTGTGTATCTATGTATATATGTATGTGTGTGTGTGCCTCTATGTATATGTGTATATATATATATATATATATATATATATATATATATATATATACTTATACACACAGGCATACTTACATACATGTATACATCCGCGTGTGTGTGTGTGTGTGTGTGTGTGTGTGTGTGTGTGTGTGTTTTATAATGTATGTTTAACTACTGAATGTGTGATAACTTTCTTTGTACAACTACCATTTCATCAGCACTTCTGATGCAACAGCGCACACGAACAGATGCGACAGCAGTGCGAGAGCCGTATCTGACCGCTCACCTTGATGAAAAAGAAAGGCTTTGATGCTCTGTCTGTCCTCTCCTGATACAGACTGTGCGCGATGGCGTCGTTGAGAATGCACTTTGATATCTCGAGTCGTTATGAAGTACCCTACACATCACTCTTAGAGTTTTTTTCTCTCTTGGTTAACTTCAGAAAAACAGTGTCCGAGTCCATTTGCTGCGATAGATCCAAAATTTACCAGACCTTAAAACGGTTATTCATTATCATTATCATCGTCATCATCACCTTTATCACCATTACTAACAGTGTTAACAAATTGCCATCGAGAACATCGAATCGAGCGTATTACAGGTAAATCTTCAGATAATATTTACTTTACTTTGCCAAGAGCTCTCCACAGCCGCGTTCAAAAACACTCATAACCTGCGTTCCATTAGAGCAACTCAATGAAGTGGCGTTTCAATGGCCTCGCTGTCAGCCCGGTCTTTTAAGATACACGCCCATAACTAGTGTCAAACAACCTTTTTAAATATTTGCCTAATATGTGGACCCCGATATGATGTATCAATGAGTAGGAGTCCTTCGGTATTACTGATGGCGCGTGGAATACGCTTTATCGTTCCATTATTTATTTTTATCTATTGTTACAGTATAATCTACTTACGGAAAGAGTAAGGTTGATGAATTGGTAGTAATGCTCAGGTCTTCCTTGGTTGTAAAAGAATGTAGGCCTTCTCGTAGTCTGTGGCAACTTCACATCATTTTGTATTTAATTTTATCGACATATATGCATCAAATAGCGAAAGGCGAGAAAAATATTTACATTCATAAATATCCATTTCCTGCCATCTAACTGCAGCCACATATAAAATTATAAATGGTAACGATAGTCGTTGTGCAACATGCCCCATCAAACGAAGCTGTTAATAACTGTAAATAGACAAATATAACAGACTTAAAACTATGGACAGATAATCGGATTCATCAAAGAGACTACTACGCCATATCTCTCAGTGTTATCGACTGATTTTATCAACATAATGGGTACTTTCATATTTCAACGGGTTGCTGCCGGTTCGGGTACGTGAGTCAGCTCCTCGGGTGTGTTATTACTTCATCAGCATCGTACCTGGAGCCGTAAAGAAGATCACGTGATCCCCAGCATTAGAGGGGGGAATGACACCGTCGCTATGTTATACTAATGACACTAGAAGGTGCCTTTGGCCGATCTCGGTTCCCTTGACACATTCCCTCTGGCAACAGGGAGGCGTTTCCCAAGCGTCGGGTAGGCTTTTAGCAGCGGGCGAATGAAAGGATATCAGGATTAGGCCGGCTTCAGTGTGAAAGCCATTATGCAATACCATATTCTATTCGACAATAGTAGGCTATCAAGAGCATTTCCGTAGTAAAGTCCGTTTTACTTCCTCCATGAGAGAAATAAATAACATAACCTTATTACTTTATGTATACTACTCTTTAACCAAATATTCATTTCAAAACATTCAAATTACTCGAATCAACATACTGACAGCTGGGCGACAGGTGGTGACGACACACGAATAACAAAATCAATATTTCTGCTTTCCTCGCCACGTGCGCCAGAAGAATGTGTTCCTGTGTCTAACCGACGGCGACTCGCACATGTGTTGTTAGCATGTTTTATTGCGATCAGTGTTAGCATATCGGTCTTTTGATATTTGTTTTTACTTTGCAATAAGACTCTTTGTGATTACTTGAGAATAATGTTGATATATTAGTTTCATTTTTAACGTTTTTTTACGTTCTGGAAGATTAGTTGTGCAACGAGACGAAACTTTTTTTCTTTCTTTCCTTTAACATTGTGGTAACATCCTGAGACGAACGCAAACATGATAATGAATTTCAGTAAATCGATATTAATCAATAGAAATATGTCGAACACCAAGGGCATAGTGACACAAAATACACAATAATATCGAAGTAATTTACGTTTAATCAGAACATCACCTCTTTTCTCCATGAAAACGGAAGAGCAGCCTTTAGTTTCCGCGTAAAAGTTTTCCTTGGCCGCTAATTATGGATGGTGCCATTAACAGGATTTATATGCCCATCAAAATTTTCTCAAAACTTATAATATGTTTAACAGTCTCAAAAAAGTTGGAATTTTCGCAAAGTTCGCAAAATTTATGTATTATCATTTTTAAGCTCAGGCATATATATATATATATATATATATATATATATATATATATATATTATATATATATGTGTGTGTGTGTGTGTGTGTGTGTGTGTGTGTGTGTGTGTGTGGTGTGTGTGTGTGTGTGTGTGTGTGTGTGTGTGTGTGTGTGTGTCTGTTCTCTCTATTCTGCTTAAAACTAGAGCACTCACGCTTTGAAAACTGTGTGGAACATATTTTTAACGTAATGAAGTTAGCATTCGCTTTTACAGGGCCGCTAGTTCAAAATGGAACACCATCTCGTTGCTTTAATAACTCATCCACGCCGATTTAGTCCAGATTTTCACCTAATTATCGCTTTTATCTATTTCCTTTGTTCATTCTCCCCCGTCTTTTAGCGTGTTGGAGGGAAATACACGTCCTTCGAGGAACTTGTCACCATCTAAGACAGCTGATCGACCTTAAAGAAACACTGAAATCACTACAAATACACTGGAGGTAATTACGGCTCTTGTTCGTATCTATCCTACACTTCTCGCATGGCATGGGGGGGGGAGGCTATCAAGGGATAAACAAAGTGAAGTAAATGGATAAATAAAGAACTACTAGTAACGATGTCCACAGTTAAAGGGAGGGGAGTTCTGCTTCCTATATATGACTAAAATGGGGAGGGGGAGGGGGATGCTTGAAATTTTGGAAAGAAAAGAATTTGGAAATATCAATTTTATCTCTAAGTAGAATACTCTATGAGCAAAAATGTCGTATTTGAGAAAGAGAGTTGTAAATACCTTAGCCCCGGAGCGAAGAAAAAAATGCAGTTCATGTCATTAAAAGCTCACACACAACTACTGCTAATTTGGTTGCAAGCCAATACTACAACATGGTTCATTTATATTTACAACGAGTTATAATCATTAATGTTTTAGATCTATATTCTAAGTGGAGAGGACCTCGTGGGGCACATGCCATCGAAGTTCAAGTTAGGGGAAAACCACAAAGAAAACGAAGTTCACTACCTATAAAGAAAACGAATACTATTTTTAGGTAAACTCATCTATACTAACGATAAATTTTGATATTGTTTTTATCTACCGTGCACAGTTCATAAAGGGGTCTTGTATAAAATTAAACATCTATAATGTCTATAAGAAAGCTGATCAGCTGTGGTGCATGTTAGTGAGCCAACAGCGGCGGCCGGAACGGGGCAGCAGCAGCCTACCCGGGCGTGAGCACCGATGCTGAAGGAGAAACGGCGTGCGGCAAGGGATGGCGTGACGCTCAGCAGTGAGACAAGAGACGGACGCCTCCCCGTGCTGGGTGACACGGAGAGCGTGGACAGCAGGGAAGCACGTCGTTGGTGCTGTTCGGGTGCAGGGGTGAGCAGAGAGGGTCGGTGTGTCACCCTGCGCGTTAGTCCCCCCACACATCCTACGCTCTTACTCGCTTCCTCGTCATCGCCATCGTCGTCGCCAGTTTCCGTGTCGAGCGGATCCGAGGAGTCAGTGGGATCCGTCGAAGGCGCGGGAGGGATGAAGGAACTGTCGCAGTTGTTAGGGGGTGTCGTCAGGGGGTCATGTTGTAAATGGGTAGTTGTGGCTGTTCCCGGCGCAGGGTCGGAAGGAGGGAGGGGTTCGGGGAAGGGCTTGCAGGGGATGGTGGGAGAGGCGGCGGGGGAAGCGGCCGGGGTGGTCTCGGGAGTGTTTTGGCGGAGGTAGATCACAGGTGCAAAGGAAGAGGACATGGGCACAAGCAGGGGCGTGGCAGAGGGAGAGTTCGAGGACATCGTGGAAGAGATAGAAACATCTGACAGAGACTGAGAGATGCCCGCAGATACTGTCACAGTGCAGGGCAAGCTGGTGGAACACGTCACAGGCGAAGACAGGCAGTAAGTGGTGTTGGTGCATGTCGATGACGATGGCAGAGAGCTAGTGGCAGCTGTTTGTAAGGAGTTGGTGATGGGAGTCGTGTTAATGTGCGGCTGAGGCAGGCTGGTAGTGGAGAGTGAGGCTTCAGAGAAGGGCGGTGTGACGGTGAGGGTGGGGGTGGTGGGTCGGGGCGGCAAGTGATCTGGTGTGATGGTGGACAGAGACAAGGGCGTGCTAAGAAGGGGTGTGGACGCCTCATCGTCGCAGGGATGGAGGCGCTCTGCCATTTCGGGCTCAACAACAAATTACAGTTCGAAGATGCTGGTGGCTAGCTTACGGGGTCAAAGGGACCTCGACACACAGTGGCAGAACGCTCGATGAGGCAGCACTACACGTGTCTTGAAAGAGAGTGGGGGACATAATGCTGACGGAAGACCTCACAGTGACGCCCATGTGGCTTTCACCGTCGCGAGGTTGAGGGGAAATTCGAGGAGATGAGGATGCGGTGCTGGATGTGAGCGGAGAGGAACTGGAATTTTCCTCCGGTAAGAACACAGTGGCGCACCCGACCACAGTATCACAGGCTGAGAATGGATTGTGCAAAGTGGAATGATTGGTAATAACGGGTGTTGTCTAGGGAAGGGGGTCGAGGAGGCCTGAAAATATGGAATGGGAGACAAAAATGGCTGTCAGTAGCAGTTCATCTGGGGAGAATGGGGTGATTATAGTTATAAAAAACGCTATACCAAATAATGATTAAAAGTTTTGCTAAGTCATCTAAATCGCTATATTAAAACCTTTTTTGTGGAATTTATGGACTTTATGTTTTGGAAGAAGAGAGGATATAATCCATTCTAACCAATAGTGGAGACACTGGTGGCGACACAGAAGACAGGGACAGAAATCGACACGCCCAAGCCACCAACAAACACATGGGCGGACACACACTTGCGGTGAGATATCGTGTCTACAATGAACACAAAGCACAGGACGCCACACCAAGGACAGCAACGCGCTCTGGCAAACAAGCAAACCGCGCCACGCACCATATGTTTGCTGGCTGATGACCAGGTTAATCATGCAATCACTCCATCAATCTCAATTCAAGCTGACACGTGAACCCGAGACGATTGAACGCGGCCCGTCTCGCCTCCGCCGGCCCTCGGGATCCTTGGGAGGAACTCCTAAGGGCCCAGAGCCTCTCCGTGATAGGATGCCGGCCAGGAACGACGCTCGCTGGATGGCCTCTGCGCCCCTCCCCCAATAACTCTTTCTCTTCGTATCCTCCTTTATAATCTTGCATTTAGTAGTACCCTTACGCCATGCTGATGATGCTATGCGTATGAGCGAAATATTATGTAATTTTCTCCATCAACTTAAGCTGAAATAATATGCGATTGTCTTATTCATATATTTCTTTATTTTCTTCCATATCTGGGCATCGGAGAAGAAAATCGATCCATTAACATTTGGACTCTTCTAGACGCCCAGTTAGTAAGAATTAAATATAAATAATGAACTGAATACAAATAATCCAACAAATAGACAGAAAAAATAATAAACATATGATAAAATGATAGACGCATGGGCTGGGGTGACAATCGTGAGTTCTGTGGTGATGAACCACGTACTACAGAACCGCCCAAAACCGCCCTGGTCATTCATGGGCGGGATTCGAGC